AAAAAAAAAACAAAAAAAAAAAACACCACTTATTTTCAGTTTGTGGCATTTATCTTATACCAAGACAGGAAGGTACAAAAACACACCGAGGACTTCCTTAAAGTAACATGATTCACACTTTTGCTTCGGTTTTATACCACATTACATGGAACTGCATTGGTCTATTAGGTACAACTTAACACACTGGGTTATATAAATCTTGATACATCCACACACAAAGTGCACCTGACAGCAAAAGCTTATTCCCAACTGCAGCTAACAGTATACCAAATTGCCACTTGAGCTCTAAGTAGGCAAAATATAGGAAACTATTTTTAAAATCTGTATAATCCATCAAACATCACAACATTTTATCATATTTCCTCTTCAATAAAATGAAGTGGACATATGGGTTGGAGTAGTGTTGAAAACCAAAACTGTGGTCTCAATGAGCAATTTACGTTCCAATCTGAAATAGTGGATTGCAGATTAATATTTCTTTTGATATGTCAATTCTCCTGTGGAGCTCTGAAGACCAACAGATATACATGCCAAAGCCAATTAACAATAAATCATCACTGTATCACAATTAACATGTTAAATTACATTCCACAGACTGATAACTTCAGCTTGAATCAGAACATCATACTTTCCATACTGCTCTATCACTTGAGTTCACAATAGCTCCTTCACAAGAACTAAGAAGTTTTGAAGTCAGTCAAGTTGTAGCGTAATTCTACAAAAATGTCCAACTTTATCTTGAGATCTTCTGGTAACACAGTGTTCACTTTCTTCCTACATGAAACAGTGCAGGAGCTCATTATTCTCACTGTAATAGTTCATATCTTAATTCCTACATAATTATATAACACTGCAGCTTACAACTATTTAATTTTTTTCTGCCACTGAGTCAAAGCTAAGGTGAGGCCTATTCTTAGAAATCACCTCACATTCATTGAGAACATGTGGTGATATCAACTCTTACCTTTTTATTCTGAAATCAGGTCAGATGGAATTTCTTACCTTTGCCTTATTATACAGAAATGTTGTAAATCTTATCTCAGGATCATTGTAAAAGTTCAGGGAAAACAATATTTTATTTTTCAAATATGGATAGCCAGACTAGAAAAAGGTTTCCAGCAGTATTCATTTTTAAAAAGTAGTATCACTTTCTCAATTATTATCCTCTTGCTTATATGTCCAAGAACTGTGCAACATAAGCAGCTTATGTAGGTAAGTAGACCTTGACTGTGACACCACCAACTTTTCTGTTAGTGTCTTCTAGATTAGAGTTGCCTATCTTAAAAAAGGATGCTACATTTCTCCCACCCCACCTCAACAGGTATGATCCTGCCTTTGGCTGTGCTAAGACATATGAAAGTGACACCAGCTTACCAAATGATGCACAAATAATGTGCTTCTCCTAAATAGCACACTCCAATTTTTAAAAGCATTACTTTACAGATATTAAGTAAGATTAGGCACATACAGATTCTTGCAGGATTCCAGGGCCATGAAATTACACAGTAATAATTTATTTAATGTCCAGAAGTAATATCTTGGAATTGAGAAAACTGCCTCTATTCCTGATAGATGTCAAAATGTCAATGTCAGTAATCACTGGAAAATAAAATAATGAAGAAAGGTAAAAAAAAAAATTAAAAATTATCTTTACAAAGTCCTGGAGTACTATGGTAAAGAACACCACACACAGTCCTCCTCTCTCTCAAATACAAGATACTTCCAGAACTTAATAACTGTCAGGGCCTTTCTCTGGATCTGCTCAAATACGTCCATGCCTTTTGTGCACTAGGGAGTCCCAAACTGGACACAGCACTTCAGACATGGTCTTACCAGAGCCATATCTTCTAAATGTGGTCCAGTGTGCTGTTGGCCTTCTTTGCTGCAAGGGCACATTACTTGCTCATGGTCAGCTTGTTCTCCTCCAGGGCCTGCAGACACTTCTCTGCAAAGCTGCTTTCAAGACAGCTGGGCCCCCAGCTGCTGCTGAAGGCATGAGGTTTTCCTCAGCAGAAGCACTTCCATTTGCTGAACTTCAGGAGATTGCTGTAAGACTTTTTCTCCAGCCCTTCAAGGTCCCTCTGAAGGGCAGCACAACCATCTGTTGTATCAACCAGTTTTGTATTGTCTGCAGACTTGCTGAGGGTGCACTAGCTCTCAATCATGCAGGTTGTTAATAACAATATTGAACAGTATTAGTCTCAGAATCAGGGCTTGGGCTACACTACTGAGCAGTGACGGTCAGCTGCACTTTACACTGCTGAGCACAACCCCTTGAGCCTGGTAGTTCAGCCAGTTTTCAGCCCACTTCACTGTCCACTGACTTAGTCTGTTCTTGATCAGTTTCACTATGAGGATGTTAAGGAAGACAGTGTCAAAAATCAATGTAAATGGCATACACTGGACTTGTCCCAAGAACTGAGCCTGTCACCTCATCATCAAAGGTCAACACTTTAGTCGGGCATGATTTCCCCTTCATAAATCCATTCTGACAATTCCCAATTGCCTTCTTGCCCTTCATACACTTGGAAATGGTTTCCATGCTTATTTGCTCCATCAGTTCCAAGAGACTAAAGGGAGAGTGACTGGCTTGTACATCCCAAATTCCCTTTTCTTGCTTTCCTTGAAAAGATGAGTAGCAGTGGCATTCTTCTAGTCCTAGCAAATTCCCCAGTCACCAGGACCTTTCAAAGATTATTGAGAGTGGCTTAGCAATGACATCAGCCAGGTCCCTCAGTATGGGTGGGTGTATGCCATCAGGTCACATTCAGGTTAATTAAATGTTCCTCAAGCTGATTCTCCTTCACCAAGTGCAAATCCTTCTTGCTGCAGACCTTCCCTGTGAGTCTCAGGGGCTCGGGATTCCTGAGTGTGAATTTTATCAGTAGAGCAGACCAAGACAGAGAGAGCATTAAGAACCTCTCCCTGTTGCATGGCAGACTGAGGAGTATTTGAGAGTGTGCTGAGAGGGCTCCACTGATCAAAGGAGCCATACTGTGCCGTCTATGGTACATGGAAGACAACTCAGCGTGGCCACTACAGAGGCAGGTCTGGGATCTGCTTCATGTAGCAGGAAGGCAGAGGTAAGGGATGGGTGGAAGGAGGTTACAGCACGGTGTGGCACGAGAAACCCCTCATATCCTCTAAGTTACCTTTACAAAATAGGTATGAGGCCCTGGGGTAGAGCAGACAAAGAGCATAATGAGACAGGAGAGGAATGTGCAAGAGCAATCTTGCCAAGATCAGAGAGACCTACCTCTCACAACAAAACCTGCATTAAGAGCAGTGCTGAGGGGAAACAATGGTGAGTTATGGTCATTGGGATTCCCTCCTGTGCAGAAGAGAAGCACCCGTTTGCACATCAGACCCTCCTTTCAGGGAAGTTTGCTTTCTGCCTAGGGCCCACATTAGGGACATCACCACAATGCTAAAGAGCTCAGTAGAGCCTTTAGACTACTGCCCATTCTTGCTCTTTCACATGAGTACAAACGGTGCTGCAACAAAAAGTTCGAGGTCAAAGAAATTTCAGAGCCCTGGGAGTAATGCTAAAAAATTCAGGAGCACAAGTAATGTTTTCCTCACTGTAAGCACTGATGTTTTTTTTCACTGGGTTCTGTGCACCAGGCAGAAGTAGGCTCATGTTTTCTCTGGCCTTCCTTTTGCTGTGGAGACACTCCTTAATGCCCTTCTGGTTGTCCTCTATGTTGCTCGCCAGTTTTGACTCCTAACAGGCATTGGCTTTCCTAAAGTTATCCCTGCATACTCGGTGTCTCCGTGCTCCTCCTGGGTCACCTGACCCTCCTTCCACATGTTGTATTCTTCATGTTTGAGTTATGTCAGTAGCACCTTACTCTTCTATTCATGCCTCCTGCTGCCTTTGTTCAGTTTTATTCACATTGAGGTGGATTACTCTTGGAGGAGTAGATCCTTAGAAGAAAAAAAAAAAAATCCCAACCAACAGCTGTCTGGGACGCCTCTTCTCTCCAGGACCATTTTACACAGAATTCTTCAAGCAGATCACGGGTGCCTTCATCTCCTGTAAGAGAAAGTCTCCCACTACCATCCCTCACCTTTTCCTCCTGGTGCTCCTGTATTGTTCAGACCTCTGCAGCTCAAATGCTTTGTAGCACAGAGATGCAAGCCTCTCATCTGCTGACAAGGCAATGAATGGTTCTGCAGCTGCAGATTAGCAACAGAGCAGGAACCTTCCTTCTCTTGCCAGAATTCACAAGCTGCCAGTCATCTCCTTTTCCCAATTCAATAAGCACAGATTTTGCCTGCCTCTCCTTTAGCACAGCTGCAGGTTCAGGTTGCTGTATCGGCAGTGTCTCAGAGAAAATCCAGTCAATCTCCTTTTCATCATCTGTGATACTGAACAGTACTAAGCTTCTTCTGCAGCAGCTGTACTTGGTGGCAAAGATCCTTCACAAGCCCACACCTCTGCAGGGAAAGCCACAACCTCCACATGCCCAAGGCTAAGTAAAGACTCTGGGCATTCCCTACAGTCTGAGACATGAAGAATCGTCTCCGTTCTCTGGGGAACAATCTGGGTTGAGGCGTCCAACATAACGCGTAGCTGCTCCAGTGGGTATTGCAGATCACGCCCTATCATGTACCACCACCTTTGCTGAGCATGTCTCAGGAGAGTTTTTAATCTCTTCCTGCACTTTCACTAATTGTATCTTCTTTAATCAGAAGTCAGGTAGAGACAAGAGCTCAAAGTACATTTTATGTACATGAAGTACTTTTATGAGGAAGACAGACCTTTTTGGAAGCTGCTAGAGCTTGCTAGAAGTAAAAGCCTCCTGAATCTATTCTTTCCCAGCATCAGCAGGCACTCCAAAATTCCTTGAAAAAAAGTTCCATTCCTCAGAGTTCCATTCTCCAATGATACCAGAAATTCCTGAGTGATCTAGAAGTCCTAGAAGCTGAGCCCAAAAACTGCTATGCAAAACTGCTGTGTTTGTTGATGGCCTTTCTTAGCTGTGCTCAAGTTGCTTTCGTACAAGTTCATGGGACTTGGTTAGGAAATTATACAAATAATGGGGAAATGCAAAGAACGTAAGAGGTTCAGAAGAAAGAAGAAGAGAATGTACAGCCTACTACACTTGATACACACATACACCATGGTCTGCTAAAATGGAGCAAAAAACAAATAACCCCATGAGCTGCATCTTCAACACACCAAGGCACTTACCTGCACAACACCTTTCACCTTCCTGTTCTGTTCTTCTTCATTGTGGCCATTATATCAATTTACTTGTAAGCTTGTAAATTCTTATATGATCTTCCACCAAAGCTTCACTCAGCCTCACAATGTATCTCCACTATTTTTATTTTCATCAAGAAGCAATTGTCACCACTACATCACACCTCTGGATTCCTGTCTCACAGATACAGCGTCTGTATCTCCTGTCTTTGAGACATCCTAGAAGGGCTCGTTGAATTTTTGGTCTAACCTGGTATTACTATCATTGTTACAATGAAAATATGATCCATCTCTTGGGAAATACAAAGCTAAGCCATGTGTAAAACACAAGTAGCTTTTAATTTATTGATAAATCTATCAAATCTTGTTAAGTTCCAGATGTCTTTCCCACTCTGCATTAGCAAATCCTAACTGAAAAATATTTTGTCTAATTTCTGTACAGGATATGCTATTCATGTGTACTAACCTGCTCTGTGAAAATTGACTGAAGTCATCCTGAAGACCATATTTGTGTAGCAGTTCTCCCAGCAGGTAGCCAGTAGAAAATTCTTCGGAAAATGATCCTGGAACTAAATTAATTTTTTTTTGGTTTTGGTTAAAAAACAAAACAAAACAAAACAAAACCAAAAAAAAAAAAAACCAAAGAAAAACAAACCAAAAGAATTCGTATATTAATCTTAACACAACTCATTATTTTTATGACAAAATTAAGTCCAAACTTTATTTAAAAGTTCAGAGGGATTTTAGGACATTGATCTATCAGTAGCCAGTTTTTAAGTCACAAGTAAGTCTGCTTTCTGTGTAGTTATTTTGCAACATAAGCCATAGGTAGTCATTTAATTCTCAGTGTCAGTTAAAGGATAAAAGTTGTCATAATTGTCATTAGGGACACAGCAATATCTATAAATGATAATTACTAAATATTCCATAAGAGAATGGAAAGGAAAACAAAGCTAGATCTAAGGTGCTTTTCCTCCATGGAAAGTGGCTCCCACCTTGCAGAACAAATGGTTCTCTGAAGCCAGCACAACACCTTACATTCAAAACAAAGCATTGACTTGCAAACACACTAAAATATTTTTATCCTCTGGAGTCCTTATTAGCAGATGAAGGTTGAGCTCCTTACATCTGGGATCCTTTGCGCCTTGAGGAAAACTGGCTTCACCTCGAGAATCACCGCCTTGCTCAGGAAGATTTAAGAGGTATCTGGAGGAAGTATCTGGAGGCAAGGAAGCGGGACGCTTCGTCGGCAGGTCAGCGGGAGCCGGCCCCGGCGGACCCCCGAGGCGCCCCGGCGGCACGAAG